ATCCCTGGAAGTGTCCAATGCCAGGTTGGATGGGGCTTGGAGCAACCTGGGCTAGTGGAAGGTGGATGAGAGTAGTGAATCTGGTGGCAGGGGGTGGGAATAGAGGATCCTGAAGGTCCCTTCCCACCCAAATCGTTCCATGATTCCAAATACACAAATCCCCGAGAAGCCAAGGCCGGGAGGTGTCTCCTGCAGGATTCCCGGGGAAGGGGAGGCCCTGTGGTGGTTTGGGGTGGGGCAGAGCAGAGCTGAGTGCCCCGTGCCCCCCGTGCTGCCCTGACCCTGCCCTGTCCGTGCCCCCAGACCGCCCAGGCCGAGGAGCAGCTCCGGCACCGCGCGCAGATGGAGGAGCGGCGCGTGGCCGACCTGGAGGCTCAGGTGTCCCAGGCGTCCGAGCTGCTGGGCACCTACGAGAAGGCCAAGCAGAAGGACCAGCAGGTCATCCAGAAGCTCAAGGACCGCATCGTGCAGCTGGACCTGGAGAACAAGACCTTGGCCATCGCCGCCTCCAGCCGGGCCCCGGGGGACATCCACGGCGAGGAGGCCAACCTGGACGTGAACGTGCTCAAGGACAAGATGGAGAAGCTGAAGAAGCTCCTGCAGGCGGCCACCGGGAAGAGCCAGGCGGACGTGGAGGAGCCGTGTGAGCTGGAGCTGCCCAGGGGCTCTGGGGACGGCGAGAAGGCCACGGCCGGGTACTACCAGCAGGAGCTGAGGCAGCTGAAGGAGGAGTTCGAGCGCTACAAGGTGAGGGCCCAGCTGGTCCTGAAGAACAAGTCCAGCAAGGACATCAACCTGGCCAAGGAGCTGGAGGAGGCCCAGGAGCAGCTGGGGGAGCTCAAGGAGAAGTACGTGGCGCTCCAGCTGGCCTCGGACGACGCGGAGAGGCAGCACCGGCAGGACGTGGAGGCCAAGAGGCAGGAGCTGTCCCAGCTGCAGCAGCGGCACCGGCAGGAGCTGGAGAGGTGCCAGCTGGAGTACCGGGAGCGGGCGCTGCGCCTGGAGGAGGAGATGCACAAGCAGCGGGACCGGGCGCTGGCCGTGCTGGCCGAGAAGGACCAGGAGCTGGAGCGCCTGCGGGCCCTGGCGCTGCCCCACGCGCTCCAGGCCTCCCAGAGCTGCCCGGACGTCCCCCCCAGCGACTCCCCCGGCCACGGCTCCTCAGAGGTTCTCCCCCAGGGCCTCCCCCTGCCCTCGGGCTCCGAGCCCACGCTGTTCCTGTACGCGGAGCAGCTGGCACGGAAGGAGGTGGAGGTGTCGGCGCTGCGCAAGCACCGGCACGGCCTGGAGGTGCAGCTGCAGCAGCTGCGGGAGAAGGCCCTGGCCGAGCGGGAGAAGCACCGAGAGGAGGTGGCGGCGCTGCAGGGAGAGATCCAGAAGAACTTCCGGGACAGGAGCAGGGAAGGAGCCAACCTGGAGTACCTGAAGAACGTGGTGTACCGGTTCCTGACGCTGCCCGACGCGCGGGGCCGGCAGCAGACGCTCACGGCCATCCTCACCATCCTGCACTTCAGCCCCGAGGAGAAGGAGGACGTGGCCAAGCGCTCGGCCCAGGGCAGCTGGTGGCTCCACGGGAAGAGATGAGGGGGCAGCTCTTACCCCCTTGTCCGTAAGAACATCCTGGTGATCGCCCCAAACCACTTTGCTCGTGGTGAAACCTCCTCCCGGCCACACCCGGAGCTCCCGGTCACGATTTGGGCTTGAACCGGTGTTTTTGGCACCAGTTTGCAGTGGAATTGTGCCAACTCCTCCAGCCCCGGTGTGGGAATTTGCTCTGAGTTGGGACTTGGTTTAAAACCCCTGGAATTGAGGATCCTGATGCTTTTTTAAAGATGGTTTTAAAATAATCCCAACCTGTCAGGCGTGGGTTAGGGTGGAACTCACTTGGATCCTCAAACTCCAGCCGGGCTCGTGACTCAGAAGATTAAAAAGAGGGTGGGAAGCACTTTAGATGGAGCTAAAATAGCACCAGACCATGAGAGGCTCAAAGGATGAGGCTTTAATGCAGAAAATCTTGAGTGTTGTCTCCAACGTTTCTTCTCTAGAGCCAATTTAACAGCCCCAGGCCCCTCCCACGGCTCAGGTGTGCTCTCCTTCCTGCCCAGGGATCCTCGGGAATTCTCAGTGATTCCAGGAAGGAGAAAGGATCTTCTGGATGTTGAAGTGGAACCTGTGGTGGTGCCAGGGATGATTCCCCACCCCAAGGTGCCACATGGCTGAGCAGGAATTGGAGCTGCCTGAGCCCATTTGGGAGCAGGAAGCGGAGGAAAGGCTGGAATGGGTGCCCTGCTCCTCGTTTTTGGGAGTCCCAGGGAAGTTTTGCTGCTGTGCAGTGCTGGTTCTGGAAGGAAGGCCCTGTTCCTGCTGGGATGGAGCAGTGGGGGGCAGGGGGTGGCAGATCTGGGGAGTGCCTGCAGGGACCTGGAGGTTCTTCCCTAATTTCCGTGGGAATTGATGAAAGAAGGAAGCCAGGACATCCTGAAACCCGCTCCCTGAGCCCCAGGAGGGATGTTTTGCTGGTGGCCCTGGAACAGGCTCTTCCCAGCTCTGCTCAGCTGGAGCTTCCAGACTTTCTCATCTGCACAGGCCAAATGTCCCTGTGGTGTTGTTTTCCTGCACCTTGTTTGGAGTTAAACCTTGGCTACTAAAGCTCAGCTTCCCTGGCCCAGAGTACAGGGATGAGTCTGGATTAACACCCCCGGGTGGGCCTGGAGTTAAAAGCAGGTCGGGGGAGCAGCTCCTGGTGCTGCCCTGCCCGGGGGGGCCTTGGGAAGGAGCTGTCCCACCTTGGGAAGGGCAGCTGGCACAGCAAACTCCAATTCCATGGCAGGATCCTGCCCTGCCCTTGGGGCTGGAGCTCTGGGAGCTGTAGGAGCAGCAGTGTGGGGAGGGATGTACTGTGTCCCCTCACAGCTCAGGGAAGGGCCCGGGTGTTCCCTGTCCCTGGGCTGGGAAAAGGGGAGCTGCCGTGTCATGGGGGGACAGACTGGGGGTCTCCCATGTCCCCAGCCCATCCCAGGGGACCCACCAGTGGCCTGGGACAGGGATCCTGGGGTGCTGCAGCCACCGTGGTGCTTCCAGGGGTAGGGAGACCCTGGGGTGCAACATCCCTCCTTGCCTCCTTAGCTGTCCTGGTCCTGCCAGCAGCCAAATCCCCTGGATTCCCAGTAACTCAGCCCTTGGTGCCAGTTTCTCCTCAAAAGGGTCCTCAGGGAAAACGTGCCCTGGGCAGAACCTGTCCCTGCTGGGAGGGATCCAGGTGCTGCTGGGATGGAGGGAACTGGATGGGAAAGGGACAGTTTGCCCCAGGAGTGTCTGAAATGCTTCCCAAGGGTACAAGTGTTGGCTCAGCCAGGGAAGGGCCTGGACCCTGCTCCCAGTTTGGAAAGGTTGAATTAAGTGGTGCCTCTGGAATAACAGGGATGGCTCCAGGGTGAGACCTGGATTCCCACAACACCAGAGGGAGATGGTGCCTCCTGCTTTGGCTTTGCTGCTCAGGCTGAGGGGATGACCCCTGTTCTCCCTCTGCCTCGTACTCTCCTGGAGGATGAAGAGACCTGGAATAGATCCCAGGTGTGGTGGGGATCAATGTGGGATCCAGCTGGGAGGAGAGGAACAAGGTGGGATCCATTTGGGAGCAGGGATTGATGTGGGTCCGTTTTGGAGCAGGGGAACAATGGGGGATCCAGCTGGGAGGAGAGGAACAAGGTGGGATCCACCTGGGAGACAGGGATCAGTGTGGGGTCCCAGATGGGAGCAGGGGAACAAGGTGGGGTCCAGCTGGGAGCACAGAGATCCACTGTCCATGGATCCCCTGATCCATCCATACCTGACGGAGGAGAACAAGGAAGGAGCTGCCAAACGAGTCCCCTGTGTCACTGTCACCCTCCTCAGCTCTCCTGCTGCAATTCTTCCCCTGCTCCCTCCAGTCCCTCTCCCTCCTCCTCCCCCCTCCCTCAGACCTTCCCCCCATCCCTCCCTCTCTTCCTTCAGCCGATATCCCTGAAATAAAGGTAAATCCCTGTTTGAGGCAGGACTCTGGTGGCTGTTGGTGTTGGGCTGGGCAGTGCTTGGAGACCAGAACATCCTTGGGTTTAAAATTATAACAAAATTAATAAATCCCTTCATTTCCTGAGGTCCCTGTGAGTGTGGGAATGGGAATGCTTCATTCCTGCACCATCAGTGCTGGATCTGTGCTGGGGAGAAGATGCAGAGGATTCTGGCACTTAGAATCCCAGGAAGGTTTGGGTGGGAAGGGACCTTAAAGCCCATCCAGCCCCACCCCTGCCATGGGCAGGGACACCTTCCACCAGCCCAGGTTGCTCCAAGCCCTGTCCAACCTGGCCTTGGACACTTCCAGGGATCCAGGGGCAGCCACAGCTTCTCTGGGCAACCTGAGCCAGGGCCTCCCCACCCGGGAATTCCTTCCCCATATCCCATTTCTCCCTGCCCTCTGGCACTGGGAAGCCATTCCCTGTGTCCTGTCCCTCCATCCCTTGTCCCCAGTCCCTCTCCAGCTCTCCTGGAGCCCCTTTAGGCCCTGCCAGGGGCTCTCAGCTCTCCCTGGAGCCTTCTCTTCTCCAGGGGAACCCCCCCAGCTCTCCCAGCCTGGCTCCAGAGCAGAGGGGCTCCAGCCCTGGCAGCATCCCGGTGGCCTCTCTGCACTCCTGCAGCAGGACAAGGAGCTCTCGGTGCTGTTCCCTCCCTCCCCACATGCCGAGGGGTGTCCATGTGCTCTCCTGGGCTCCCCAGCCGAGGTGCTGATCCCTCCCTGCTCCCAGGGCTGGGATGATCCGCCTGCACCTCGGGGAAGCTCCTCCTGCGCCGGCTGGGCAGGTTCCTCCGGCTGCGCCGTGTCCGGGTGCCCACAGAGGGTGTGGAGCGAGCCCGGGCAGAGGCAGCGGAGCCGCTCCAGCGCCAGCGCTCCCGGCAGCGGCTCCATCCCGGGCTGTGCCCGGCGCAGGCGGAGCCGGGAAGGCTCCAGGCTCCCACCCCCGGCCATGGCCAACGCAGAGGAGCAGCCGTGGGCTCTCTCGGATACCCAGGTAAATCCACGTGCGTGCGGAAAACCCCCTGGAGACCTGGGAATGGCGCTGCCGAACGCTGCAGTTCCCATTCCAACAAATCCCGGCTCGCGGGGTCCCCCCACGCCGGAGCTGGGGCGGCGCTGGGACCGGCAAAGGGGTCCCGGCCCCCCGGGCAGGGCTCGTGCTGGGCCGGAGCGGCTCTTCCCAGGCTCCTGCCCGGCTGTCCCGGTGACTCAGCCCCGGGGTCCCTCCGGCCCCGGCGGTCGCTCCGGTTCCTCGGCGGCAGCTCCAGCAGCGCCGTCTGGGAGCCGCTCCCGGCGTGGCCCCGGGCGGGACGCGGCTTCTTGGCGCTCCCCAGCCCCGGGCGAGGGAATCCGGGATGCTGAGGAGGGCATCTGGGGAGGAAAACTCAGGAGGATGGAGCAGGGAAACCCCCCCGTGCGGCGGCTGCCGAGGGGCTGGGGAGGGACCGGCCCCGACCCCTCCGCTGCCCCCTCAGCCCTGCCACAGCCTCTCCGGGCGAGCACCTTTCCCCGTGTTTTGGGATGCCCGAGGGAGCGAGTCCGGCCGTGCCGCGGGGCTCCACATCCCCCCGAGCCGTGGGCCGGCCGAGGCTCCCGGGGCGGCTCCGCTCCGGGACTCCCGAGCCCGCGCTCCCCGCGTGTCTCCCCCAGGTCCTGGTGCTGATGGGAACCTCCCTCCCGGCCGCGCTGCTCAGGTGGGTCCTGGCCCCGCTCCCGGGGCTGGAACCGGGACTCGGCAGCAGCTCTGCCGGGACATTTGTCACCAGCCCCGTCTTTTCCAGCCTCCTGGGCAGCGGATCCGTCCTCGCTGTCGCCTCCTGGCAGCGGCGGTGCTGCCACATCCAGGTGAGTGTCACCGGCTCCTGAGCATCCAGGTAAGTGCCGCCGGCAGTGCTGCCACTCCCAGGTGAGTGCCACCAGCTTCCAGGGGCGCAGGGACGGGCCCGGCCGCAGCTGAGCCCGAGGCGAAGCCGGGTCGGCACCGGGATAAAGCTGCGGGAGGGGAGCGGGAGGTGCGGGATGTCCAGCACTCGCTCCAGCCCCCCGGGAGCAGCCGGTGCCAGCCCGCGGAGGGCCGTGGGAGCTCGGGGGGGCTCTGCCATCTGAGCTAACGCCGTGCCCCCTCCCCAGCTGCGGCCCCTGGCCCTGCTGGCCCTGGCGGATTTCCTGGGCGCCGCTGCCCTGCTGGGCACGACCACGCTGCAGCTGCTGCCGGCCCCGCTCTCCGTGCCCGCCTACGCCGCCTGTCCCTACGGGCGGATGCTGGTCACGGTAAGGGGGCACCGGGACCCCCCTGGGCCGCCGGGAGCGGCCGAGCCCCGCCTGCGGGCTGGGATGGACGGACGGGGGCCCGGGCGGTCAGTGCTGCCGGCCCCGAGAGGGACCAGAGGGGCCACGGGGTCCCTCCGCGGGTGCAGAGGAGGGAAGGGGCTGGAGGGGTGGGGTGGGACTGCAGGGCACGGGGAGGGAAGGGGCTGGTGGGGCATGAGGGTGCAGAGGGAAGGTACCCTGGGGGCGCCGGGCACAGCAGGACCGACCCCCTCTCCTTATCCCTCTCCCTTTCTTCTCCCAGACCTTCTACTCGGTCTCGTTCCTCATGGTCGTTGTCTACGCCTACGAGTCCTATCGCACCGTCCTTGGCGGCAGAGCCCGGCCCGCGGCAGCGCTGCAGGTCCGTGACCCCGCCCGGGTGAGCCGGGCATCGCCCTGCCCTCACACAGCCCTGCCAGGACCTGGGCATCGC